CTGGGGATGCTGGCCGACACGGTCAGCGTCACGACCAGTCGGTCTGGGGTCAACCCGTACAAAGTCGGACCCAGGACCAGGAGAGCCTCCTCCGAGGACACGAGGCCCTCCGCTCGCCGAACCGAAGGACATGCGAGGGTGCCCTCCCCCAGGAGGCCCAAGAAGATCCAAGAAGCACGAAGTACATTAGGGCACCCTCCCCGAACCAACCTCGATCTTCTACCTCGGTCCGACCGTAAAGATGCAAGGACATTGGAGGGCCATGTCGACAGCCTGCCAGCGTGGCGCGGCCAGCGAAAGCGATCGAGGATGGGCCGAAGGGGAAGGACGCAGGGGTAACCCTGGAAAGTTATTGATCGGTTGACTGTAACGCAGCAGGTTGCCCACGCCAACTGCTGCGCTCTGCCGAGCTCCGGTGGAGGCGCAGCTCCGCTGCGTTCTGTGCAGCTCAGGAGAGAGGTCGACGGCTTCGGGGGGCCGTGCGGGCACGGCAAGGAGCTGAACGATGAGCTCCGAGCAGCCGGAGTCTCTCGGCAAGGACGGGCGCTGGCGGGGGGCCCCGAGACGGGCGCCGCAGGCCAAAAAATGGCGGCCGCTTCCTGTTCAAGCCTTTTCGGCCGCTGGGAGCCGGCTCATGCCACCGAGACAGCCCGGGACTGGCGTCCACCTCTTCCTCGTCCTCCTCCTCCTCCTCCTCCTCCTCCTCCTCCTCCTCATCCTCCCTCCTACTCCTCACCCTTCTCATTATCATATCCATCCTCTTCCGTCGTCGCGTTCAGCATCATCATCATCATCATCATCATCATCATCATCATCATCATCATCATCATCATCATCATCATCATCATCATCATCATCATCGTCATCGTCATCATTGTCATCATCATCATCATCATCATCATCATCATCATCATCATCATCATCATCATCATCGTCATCATCGTCATCATCATCACCACCATAATCATCATCATGTTCATCATCCTCATCATCATCATTAGCATCATCATCATCAGCATCAGCATCAGCCTCATCATCAGCAGCATCAGCATCAGCATCAGCAGCAGCATCATCATCAGCATCATCATCATTATCATCATCATCACCATCCTCTTCCTCATCCTCGTCCGTCGTCGTGTTCAGCATCATCAGCATCGTCATCATCAGCATCATCATCAGCATCATCACCACGAGCTTCAGATCATCATCATCACCATCACCATCACCATGACCATCCCCATCATCAGCATCAGCATCATCATCATTATCATCATTATCATCAGTATCAGCATCCTTATCAGCACCAGAATCATCAGCATCAGCATCAGCATCAGCATCAGCAGCATCATCAGCATCATCATCACCACCACCGTCATCATCATCACCATCACCATCACCATCGTCATCACCATCTATGTTAGCATGTCGGATTAAAGGTTTGGAACTACTGGCCCCCAGATCTGCGCGGGCTACCTCTTCTGTGCCCTTATCCCATGCCTGTGGCTCGTAGCTTCTCGGGGGCCCAGCTGGGGACTGGCCTCAGGAGGCCCTCAGGCCTGGGCCGCGGAAAGGGCCCTGACGACGCGCGAGACCGCGCCATGGCGCGGCGCGCGGCGCGGCTGGGGCGGCCCCTGCGGGTTCAACACAATCAGAAGAGATGGGCGGGAGGGGCAGGATGTCAGATGAGGCGCGAGCTCACCTAACGTGCCTTCCGTCCTCCCTACTACCTCGTCGCTCCCCCCTTCTCGTCCTCGTCCTCGTCCTTCTCATCTTACCCCCCCCTCTCACATGCGCCTCCTCTTCCTCATCCTCCTCCTCCTCATCATCAGCATCATCATCATCAGCATCATCACCACCACCACCATAAAATCATCAGCACCATCATCATCCGCATCCTCATCCTCATCCTCAGCATCATCATCATCATCATCATCATCATCATCATCATCATCATCATCATCAGCAGCATCATCATCAGCATCATCAACAACGTCATCATCAGCATCATCAGCATCAGCAGCATCAACATCAGCATCCTCATCAGAATCATCAAGATCCTCATCAACAGCATCATCATCATCCTCATCATCATCATCATCATCATCATCATCAGCATCATCAGCATCGTCAGATTATCATCAGCATCAGCATCAGCCTCATCATCATCAGCGTCAGCATCAGCATCAGCATCAGCATCAGCATCAGCACCATGATCATCATCATCATCATCAGCATCATCCTCATCAGCAGCATCATCATCACCAGCATCATCAGCATGATCAGCATCAGTATCAGCAGCAACAGCATCATTATCAGCTTCATAGGCATCAGCGTCATCATCATCATCATCAGCACCATAATCATCAGCATCATCATCAGCACAAACATTATCACCGTCAGCAGCAGCATCATCATCAGCATCCTCATCATCAGCATCCTCATCCTCAACAGCAGCATCAGCAGCATCATCATCATCATCACCACCACCACGTTTCAGCACTATCATCAGCATCATCATCAGAATCATCATCATCACCACCATCATCATCATCATCATCATCATCATCATCATCATCATCATCACCCTCATCATCATTACTATCATCATCATCATCGTCGTCGTCATCGTCGGCATCACATCCACCACCACAACCAACATCACCATCACCATCAGCAGCCTAATCGTCGGCATCAGCATGATCATCAGCATCACCATCATCAGCATCGTTATCATCATCAGCATCATCATACACCGCATCATCATCAGCATGGGCATCAACATCAGGATCAGCAGCAGCAGCATCACCATGATTATAAGCATCATCAACGGAAACATCAGCATCAGCATCGCCATCGTCGTCATCATCATCATCATCATCAGCATCAGCATCAGAATCAGCATCGGCATCAGCATCATCTGCATCATCATCACGATCAGCATCATCATCATCATCATCATCATCATCATCATCATCATCATCAGCATCAGCATCAGCATCAGCATCAGCAGCATCATCATGTGTCATCATTATCAGCATCCACATCAGTATCATCTTCAGCATCAGCATCAGCATCAGCATCATCATTATCATCATCAGCAGCATCAGCATCATCAGCATCAGCATTAACATCACCAGCAGCATCAGCATCATCAGCATCATCATTGTTAGCAGCATGATCATCAACATCATCATCGTCATCATCAAAATCATCATCATCATCATCATCGTCCTCCTCGTCCTGCATACGTCTTCCTTGTGAATAGCTCTCCCCGTCGCACTACCAGACGTATGTGTAGGGCGGGCCAGGCGTTTCGCCTCAGGCTGCCATACCATCTATGATCCTGAAGCTTGACATTTGCAACAGCTCCGAAGATGGAGGGCGTGTAGTTTGAAAGCTATGGCTCTCGCCTCAGCGTCGCGACCACTCGTCTTAAACGTGTGCAACATTTTCAAAGATGAAGGGCTGCCCGTTTTCAAAATGTGGCTCTCCATTCAGCGCCACGTTGCATTCGCCTTAAAAGTTTGCAGCGTTTTCAAGGCTGGAGGGCCGTTCCTGTTCAAAATGTCGTTCCCGTATTAACGCCACGCACGGTCGCCTCTAAAGCTAAAGTCTGCTAGAGTGTCGAAGATTTATATGGCTGAAGTCCCAGGAACGGCGCTCTGGCACTATTTGAGGCTCTCGGGACAAAACAGTCGCATGGATTCCTGGCTCTGAAGTCCCAGGAGTGGTTTGGCACGAGTAGGTGCTCTCAGGCGGTTGCCTTCTAATGGGGCACTCCCCGCAAGGAAAGCAAATCCTTGCAGGGACCTACGACGAAGGAACTTGGACGGAGGGCTCACTGCAACATCGTTGGTGCGTCCTGGCTTCACAGTGGTCCTCGCCCTCCTCCTCCCTCTCCTGCTCCTCCTGGTCGTCGTCCTCGTCCTCGTCCTTCTCATCGCCCTCCTCCTCCTCCTCCCCCTCCTCCTCCTCCTCCTCCTCCTCCTCCTCCTCCTCCTCCTCCTCCTCCTCCTCCTCCTCCTCCTCCTCCTCCTCCTCCTCCTCCTCCTCCTCCTCTTTCTCCTCCTCGTCCTCCTCCTCCTCCTCCTCGCCTGGGGAGGGGGCCGAGGTCCCCCGGGAAGGGGGGGGGGGGAGACAGGCCGCGAGCCACGGCTGCGCTGTCGGAGGAGCCCCCGGCGGGGCGAGGGGGCCCCGGGCAGGGGCAGACCCTCCGAGGGGGCCGGCCCTCGTCGCCCTCGTTCTCCTCGTCGTCGTCGTCCTCGTCGTCGTCCTCGTCCTCGTCCTCCTCATCGTCCTCTTCTTTCTTCCTCCTCCTCCTCCTCCTCCTCCTCCTCCTCCTTCATCCTCTTCTCTCCTCCTCCTCCTCCTCCCCCTCCCTGTTCTCCTCCTCCTCCTCCTCCTTCTCCTCCTCCTCCTCCTCCTCCTCCTCCTCCTCCTCCTCCTCCTCCTCCTCGTCCTCCTCCTCGTCCTCCTCCTCGTCCTTCTCATCGTCCTCCTCGGGCAGCCGTCGGAAGCGCGGCCTGGCCGACCCCTTCTGTCCTTGGCGGCGCGCACGATGGGGTGCTGCTCAGAAGACCACGTCCACAGGAAAGGCCCACGCCTTCCAAGCAGCAAGGGGTGCTTCTGAGAAGCCTCCCTCCCTCCCAATTGGACCCCCTCTGCGCGTGGCCGACGTACGCCTTGGGGCGAAGCGAGGGGACATAACGAAAGGGGATGGTCTGCTGGGAGTCGCCCCCTGAGGCGAGCGACCACAACCATCACGCAGCCTCGTCTCCGTCAAGGGGAGTGTAGTGGCCGAAACTGACCGAAACTGTGCCCGAGAATCCGCCCGAGTGTGACCGCAACTGGCGCTCGAACTTGTCCGACCGCGCCCGAGCGTGACCGAAACGTCTGGCTCAGAACCAATACGGTTTTCATCTTCGGTTGCAATGTCGGCCACACATTGTTCTCTCGGTCACACATTGTTCTCTCGGTTACACACTGTTCTCTCGCAATTCGGGCACGGTTTCGGTCACACATTGTTCTCTCGGTCACACACCCTTTTGGCTGATAGGGGCCGGGCGCCATGACAACCACATCGAGGACACACCCTGGGGAATGTCTTGCGCATGCCACTCGTCAGATCACCAGGTCGAACTTAGTACTAGTTGTGATCGATGTGGGCGTCGCACACGGACAACTCGACAGTAACCACTACCACAACCAGAGTGTTCATGTCGAAGTCTCTCCCCCGAGGGGCCCTCCATAAAAGTCAATTTGGTTGTGGTTGTTTTTGTTTTTGCGCCCCGACCTTAGAAGGAAGGCCCTTGCCTTCTGAGGAGGCAAAGGTCTTGCTGGAAGGGGTCGAAGGCTTCTAAGAAGGATTATCAGAAAGCGGGAGGGCCTCTAAGAGCCCCCCTGCCTCGTGCGCCACCCCTTTCTGCGCGCTGCTGGGGGCAAATTCATCTCCCGGTCACTTGGCCATTCGCGCGGCCCTGTCCTCAATGATGCTCAACTTTTCCCCGTTGCCCTTCGGCAGAGAAATCCACGGCTTGCCGCCCGTGCCGATTACGAAGACGTTCTGCATACGGGTCGCGAACGCATGCCCGTTGCTGTCCTTGACGTGCACAATCTCGAAAGAGCCCGGGTGGCGCTCGCGGTGGGTGATGTCACCGACGCGGCCCATGTTGTTCCCGCCGCTGATCATGACCTTCTGGCCAGGCTCGAACTTGAGATGGTCCTTGATCTTGCCAGTGGCGATATCAATACGCACGGTATCATGGGCCTTAATGTCCGGATCGGGGTAGCGAATCGTGCGCCCGTCATGGGTGATGGCGTAGGGGATGCCCTTCGGTCCACGCTCCACCTTCCTCACACGCGCGAGCTTGTAGGAAGCCTCCTCCTTGGAGATCTTGTGCAAACAGAACTTGCTCTTCGTGTTGTACAGCAGCCGGAAATTCTCCTTGGTTTTGTCGATCTGCACCACGTCCATGAACCCCGCCGGATAGAACATGTCCGTGCGGGTCTTGCCATCCACCTTAATCAGTCGCTGCATGGTAAGGGGGCCACATGCGAACCCTACCCCTACCCCCCACGATTTCTGAGGGTTCGGGAGCTCCCGAGCTAAGTGAACCCCACCCTCCCCCTCAGAAATCGTGGGGGGTAGGGGTAGGGTTCACATCTGGCCCCCTGATGGTGATCATCTTGCACTCACGGTAGGTGAGCGCGTACTTGAGGCGCTCGCGCAGCAGCACGATGAGGGGCAGGCACTCGCGCTGCTTGTGCGGGCCGGCGGACGGCTTGGGCGCCCAGCGCCCCCGGAGCTTGTCCAGCATCCAGTGGGAGGGTGCGAACATGCGCTTCAGGTGCTTCTTGGGTCCGCGCGCCATGGTGCCCGGGTCTCTCTAGCCTCTCGCCGCGGTATATCCGTTAGCCAATCGCCAGACACGGGTAGTCGGGCTGCACCTCGAGCCAAAAGCGGCTGCGGGGAAAGGGGGACGAGGATACGGAGCAAGAGGACTACGAGGAGTTGAGTGATGTGGATGTGGATGTGGATGATGATGATAATGATGATGATGATGATGATGATGCTGATGATGCTGATGATGATAATGATAGTGGAGGTGATGACGATGACGATACCATGACGATGACGGATGACGATGACGATGACGATGACGATGACGCTGACGATGACGATGACGCTGATGATGAAGATGAGGATGAAGATGAAGATGAAGATGAAGATGAAGATGAAGATGAAGATGAAGCTGAAGCTGAAGCTGAAGCTGAAGCTGAAGCTGAAGCTGAAGCTGAAGCTGAAGCTGAAGCTGAAGCTGAAGCTGAAGCTGAAGCTGAAGCTGAAGCTGAAGATGAAGATGAAGATGAAGATGAAGATGAAGATGAAGATGAAGATGAAGATGAAGATGAAGATGAAGATGAAGATGAAGATGAAGATGAAGATGAAGATGAAGATGAAGATAAGATGAAGATGAAGATGAAGATGAAGATGAAGATGAAGATGAAGATGAAGATGAAGATGAAGATGAAGATGAAGATGAAGATGAAGATGAAGATGAAGATGAAGATGAAGATGAAGATGAAGATGAAGATGAAGATGAAGATGAAGATGAAGATGAAGATGATGAGGATGAATATGAAGATGGAGATGGAGATGAAGATGAAGATAACTGAAAATGAAGATGCAGACGGAGATGAAGAGAAGATGAATCTGAATATGGAAATGGATGTGAAGGTGATGCTGATTATGATGATGGTGATGATGAAACTGATGATGGTGATGATGACGATGATGCTGAAGATGGTGATGATGGTGATGATGATGATGATGATGATTATGATGATGACGGCGACAACGATGATGATGATGACGACGACGACGACGACGACGCCGATGCTGACGATGATGATGATGATGATGGTGGTGATGGTGATGAATGCAGTGATGATGATGATCATGATGATGATGATGATGATGCTGATGGTGATGATGATGATGACGATAATGGTGATGGTGATGGTGATGGTGATGGTGATGGTGATGGTGATGGTGATGGTGATGGTGATAATGATGATGATGATGTTGATGATGAGCATGATGATGATCATGATGATGATGGTGATGATGATGATGGTGCTGCTGATGATGGTGGTGATGATGATCACGATGATGATGATGTTGATGATGACGAATTTGATGATGACGAGGAGGATGACGAGGAGGAGGAGGAGAAGTGCAGACATGCGCCTCAGGCGTTTCTTATTGGGTCGGCGGCCCATCGTGCCCAGGGCCTGGGTCCCCCTCTGCCCTGGGTGACTCTTGTCCGCTCGCCGGGCCAGAAGCCGGAGGAGGACGATGACGAACGCAATGAGGTAGGTAGGCAGCGACGATTCATAACAAACATCATTGATGTAAATTGTCGGAGGTACGCGTGGATTTCTTGGGTCGGCCAATCCCCGTCCCTGGCGCGAGTAGCGCGCAACCCAAGAAATCCGCGCAGAACTCTGAAAGTTTACGTTGATGCATTTGTTCTTCTTCGAGGGATGGTGAGGAAGGAGGGAGGGGGACAGGGGAGGGAGCGGGAGGGAATGAGGCTCGCCGCCTCATGTTGGGGCCATCAGCGAGTCAGCTGCTCTCACTCCAGCGCCCCTCGAAAGACCTCCTCTGCACCCAGGGAGAAGCGCCCCTGCAGGTCTGAGGGCCCTCCTCGGAGGCAGAGCGGGAGGGGGCGACCAGCTCACGGGTAGGGGAAACACCGAGTCGGATGAAATCAGCGATACTCCGCCGATAGATCGGCGATAG